TAGACCGAACTCCTTTTAACATTTACAGAGACCCAACAGTACCACCATGAGCAAGACCTTGGAGATTCTTAATGTCACTAATTCATTTTAGAAATATCCGCTTGCTCTCTCTGCCCCCCTTTCCTGTCTATCTTTAGCTGTCACTATCATATAAAGGCCCAAAAAATAATAAAAAAAAAGAAACGTATCAAAACTTTAATTTAACCGTTTATTAAATTAATAGTAATAATTATAGATTAGAAGTATTAGAAGTATTTTAACTGGTTTTATGTGAAATCAGTAATTTTATGATTATTTACAGATTTTTATTTGACATTAAACATTTAAATTCACATTATTTTGTAATTATATTAATATTTCTATGTATTTAAATAATACATAAGTAATCTGTAAATAAACGTGAAAAACCTGTAAACTAAAAATCCTACGGCGTACCACAGGGGTCAATCCCAACAGTTTACATTTCACAATAAAAGCACAAACAGAAACCTTCAGTCTGCAGGAAACAGTTTTATTTTGACACAAACTTGAAATAAATACACATTAAAGTTCAGATTGCACATTAACCTTCCAGCACTTTCCATCAGATCAATAACAACATCATCACATTGTCCCAACAGGACAGCGTACAGCCCCAACGTCCACAGACGGTTGTTTTATTGTGACAATGCTGCATTCTGGTGAAACATTATCAGTTCAAACATCAGAGTCTGCAGACAATATTATATTAATATATTATTATATTATTGTTAGAAATGTTCATTCTGACAGATGCTAACTCAATTAGCATCATTAGCATTAATAACCAGCTACATGGACAATATCTCAGCAGCTGATTGGCTGATTGGGACAATAAAGGAGGTTATTGAGGACGCTGAATGGAAATGGACTGGATTAATACATTAATATAATACCACAGTATCACACCAATGTATTGATCATATCAATAACCTCAGAATGAATCACAATCAGCTGCTCAGGGTCAAACAACATCAGTCGTTAGTTCGCTAGTGTTTTGCTAAAATTGTCTTCCAGGTGTAACTAGCTCACTACAGATTGACGTAGATTATATCGGCCCTCAGAGAGCCCTCAGAGAGCGTTTAATTGGACACAGCATTAGTAAACGCCCCC